AGTGGAAAGTAAACAATTGCATTGTTTTCATTTTGGAGAAGCTGGAAATGATTTATATTTCTATAGATAATAGTAATGTAGTATTTGCTATCAGAATAAGCAAAGAATTCACGATATACCCAATAGTAATCACAAAAACAAATATCTGTTTAGTACTGAAATGGCTAAGAGTGTGGTTCGATAGAAAGCTGAATTTTCGTAGATATATCATTGAATATATAAATAAAGCCAAGGCAGTAGTAAAGTATATACAAAACCTGGCTAAAGTTATACAAAGCCTCTTAATATATATTATATATAAGGCAATAATTATATATATATTTCCTTTACTTTTATATAGGATTGAGATCTGATATAGAGATAGATTCAAGACTATGTGAAGACTAAAACCAGGATAAACAAAGATTAACACTTGCCTTGGCTGATATATGATATAAATCGAAAAGGTTCTTACAATAATAACACAAGGAGTCATACTAGCCTGGAAAACTATACTGATAACCACCCTTTATTGTGAAACAGGTTTCCCTTCAGCTATAATAGTTTTCAAAAAAGCCAAACTAAGGTTTGTTTTGCATCTCCAAAGTATAGATACAACCCATCTGCTCATGAAAAGAATCGAACCCTTTATGATTATCAAAGGATAAGATACAGACAAAAGACAAAGAGCAAAGATCAAAGTCCAACAGTTTGGTCTTCTTGTCCCTCTAATCTTAAGGCCTATACTCGAATCATTATGATATATATCTGACTGCTGAACAAATCCAATAGAAAGGATTGATAAGAAAACAGCCGCAAAAGCCTTTAATACCTGATAGGAAAACCTGTTAGACACAGATATCACCATCTTTTCGGATAAATCGGAAAACTATATAAAAAGAAAATATATTGTAGACTACAGATATATAATATATCTAGGCAAAAACCAGATATTAGTGGGCTTTGGCTTTATTAATACCTAGTCCTATATCTTTGATACAAAAGCTATTGGAGTATAGAAAGGCCTGGAATACATTCTCAAGGATACCAGATATATTAATCAGAAAATCTGGATATGCATTGATAATGCCTTGGTTATCTGGGATATAAGAGCTAATATTTCCATATTATTATAATGGATATTCAACAATTGTTATAAAGCTATGAAAGACAACGATATTTGTGTCAAATGGTTACTGAGGCATGAAAATATCGAGGGAAATGAGGTGGCTGATCACCTCGTTAACCTTGGCGTTAAGAAACCCAATTGAGACACTGGACTAGTATCCCAATTTATTTATAATGGGGTAAAATCGATTATATATATCCTAAAAGAAGAGGCCTACTAACAATAATGGATATCATACAAACCCGCCCTTTCACTATAATACAAACAATGAAACCCAGTATATAAAGTCAAACTATTGCCAAAGCTCCTATTCCCACAAGTAGTCCTACACAGATTGATAGCTATTCGAACCTTATATAGAGACTTTGGATAATATCATAGGAAATTTGGGTATACAAGAGACACAGAATACTTCTGCGAAAGACCCACAACCCCTGTCTACCTGGTTCATTGCCGGAAAGCAAAAAGCACATTTGAATAATAACCAAATAAGCCTTTTATACTATTATCGATAAATAAGAAAGATATTCAATACCTATATCAAATCTTAAACAATTCTATGGACTTTACAAAGCTATTAAAGCTTACAAAGTTCTATAAAGATATATACCCAAGGTAAAAGACTGTAAACCTATATTTTACAAACAAATAACCTAAACTCTGCAATAACACATATTCATTACCAGGACCGATTTGTAATGTACAACACAAACGAAGCTATCAACTCCCTTTGCAGAGTATATACAAAGAAATAACTTTATTAATAGGTATAAAAAACCTGATTAAATATTAACAAGATATACAAAAACATATCTGAGAATGTTCCCTGGAGTATAACAAACATTCTAATCGCTATACCAGAAGTAGCCTATTGAACCACTGGAGTATATACAACGATAAGCCTACAAAATGGATACAACCGTCTACACTAGGCAAAACAGTAGAATCACCTCAATCAATAGAGGAGAGAATACACAAATTGGAAGGTAACACACGATTACCAGGAATGGCTGTAAGGCTTTCACTTTTCTTTCTAAGGCACTCTCATTTCATGTACCGTAAAACCATAGCTTAGAACATCTGCATACCCCTAGGGAGGTTCTGAGGACAGCCCTAAGCTGCTCTCCTGATGTAAAATAATACTACTACTACTACTACTACTACTCCTATGATTTCACACCTATCTTCACTCCTTTATAATAGTAGTTTAGATATGTATTGCTTTTCGTTTAGCAGTCTAGGTTACTAAAATTAGATATCGCACTATCTACTATATCTAGCTATATAATTTTCAGATATGTAACAAAACTTTTTAAAGGCCTAATCGATTATTATCTAATATTTATATATATATATATATATATAATTCATTCGATCGAAAGTGAATGAAGTATATAGATAATAAGCTAATAGCAAGCTAGGCCTCTATAAGTTTTATTATATATCTAACATATATCACCTTTCGTTTAGTAGTCTAGACTACTAAATTAGATACCGCCCTAGCCACTATATATCCAACTGTATAATTTCAGATATGCAACAAAACTTTTCAAAGGCCTACATGGTTATCATTTGATATACTTTATTCACTTCCTTTCAATGAATTTCAGACGAAAATCATCTAGGCATTTGAAAAGGTTTGTTGCATATCTGATGTGTATTGTTTATTGTTTAGCTATCTAGATTACAAATATTAGATTTGATACTTACTAGTCACTGTATATCCAGCTAGCGATTTTCATACTTTTCAGATATGCAACGAAATATTTTCAAAAGCCTAGATGATTATCGTCTGATTGGTTTTGTGTATTATAAGATTACATTAAAGAGTATGAATGGAGTATATCATCTGATATTGTTAGGAGACAATCGTAGGTGTGTAGATCATCATACTACTCTCCCAGAGATTCAAATCTGATAGAGATATGGGATTGCATAGTGAGGATTTCTTTAGTTCTAGCTAACTTTCCTGTATCTTTCATCAGTAGTGAAGAAATCGGTATTCAAGTGTGGTGAGTGGAAAGGCGATAAAATGTATGAATACCGACATAAATTGGAGGGTACTAGTAGAAGATTGCTGAACAAAATGGAGAAGTGTGGCGGCGACAGTAATTATTTCACACACTAGACTAGCATCTCCAGCGCACTCATGCCTATAGAAAGCTTGATTAGAGATCACATCCAGCAATCGCGACAGATCTAGGACTTTTGGGGAGCAATGATTCTTGCCGATGGGTTCTCTCTGGGTTTGGGCAGAGTTGTTAATGGGTGGTGACGAGGTGGCAGATACCCATGGGTATCTATCTATAGGCTGTAATGGGTTAGGTTTTGCCTAAAACGATCATCTATTCATCATATGTAGTCATAACATTGAATTTTTGCATTCTCAAACAAGAATTGATAAAGACCTCCTCTTCCAGTCGTACTGTAACAATACACCCCATAACATTCAGCCAACCACATCGATCTCACTCCAACCTTTGAAGTAAGACTTTTGGAAATATGCGACAAACCCCCAAACCCCTTCTCGACTTTTTGAAGCCTAGATAATATAAATCTATCCAGCTGTGTTTTGTATTTGGACAGTAGCACTATCTGAACACCCACTAACTTCCAAATATCCAGTTCTAGATCAACAACCGAGATATACTGCTGTCAGACTTTGAAGTACTATTATATATAAAATGGTCACAGAATCCTGAGATAGTACTGTACCAAGAACGAAACTACCACAGTATCTCTCGATCCCTTTCTTCTTCTCTTCTCTTTCCTCCTCCTCCTCCTCTTCATCACCATTTTAACTCAAACAATATAATCACATCCATATCCCTAACCCAACATGATTCAACAGTATTCCAAAAGAGGCTTCGCTGGGCTGGGCTAAAGCAAACCCTATCCATCGCCGCGCTACCGCACAAGTACAAGCACCAATTTTATTGTTCTCCTGTCAGCTCTTACCCAAACTCAATACCCATTCCCGTACCCTTCCCGTTCCCATTTCGTTTGCACCCTCTCTTCCACCCATTCTTCCACCCTACTATATCTTCCATATCTCAACTCAACATCCATAAACCATCCATAAACTATTCAGTCATCAAATCCCTTGCTACCACGAGTATTACAACTAACAAAATTGACCAACCAACTCCAACAAAACTAGTAACTGACCCAAAATATCTATCGCCTGCTACCGCAAATTCACCACACCACCATAATCTCATTATTTTCACAGAAGATTTCAAGTTTTTTTAGATTACAGTGTCTATCCGTACTCGAGTATATATATCCTACTCGTGCATTTTGTCAGTAACAGCGAAGCGCAGACTATTTATGTTAAAACAGCAGTTACAGTATTCATTTGAGAATCGAGATTGAGTGATTTTGGGCAGAGCCATTGTATATATTACATTTTAAAGCCATTCAGTGATCAGATAAAAATTTCGTTTCACTGCAAAAATAACTTATAAAGTATTTCACAGTTATTGGCATCTTGCTTGCTCATTGATACTTATATAAGAAAAGAGGTTTGATTGAATTTCAGCGAACAGCCGCGCAGTCTATATGTATATGCAAACGAATTTAATCTCGAAGAGTCTGTGACTATCAATAAGCGGTACCCCCAGCCCCCAAGCCGCCCAAGTTCCCCAAATCTGATCAGGAATAACCAGGCACTCAGTCCGTTTGATAATCATGCAGCCTATCCTGTCTATCTTTGAAATGAAAGAACAGCGATATATTGTACCCCCTCCCTCCGCAAACTTCCTTCTATATAAGCAAGAAAAAACGAACGAAATCGGTATAAGACACAATCTCATAAAGATCAAAAATCAAATCCAAACCTAAATAACGAAAAGAAAGACAACTAGACAACGAAGCTCTAAATGACTCCCATTTAATCGCAATGAAAATCAAACCTCGGATCTCTGAAATCATATCTTCCAAGCGTAGCTTGAAAATCGGTCCAAATATTCGAAGCACCAATGATATAATGGAAAAGATAGATTTGGGGTGACTTATCACACCAGTCTCTTCGATTGCCAAGAGTGGCCAGGTACCGAGTGGCTTCTACACGCGTCAATCCTAAGGCTGCTACTTGACCTATGCTCTCTGCTGGGAAGAGTGGTTGTTTCTGTCTTGGCTTTGATGGGGCAGGTGTAGCAGCATTAATAAACTTGGCACCGGATGAGCCTTTTTTAGGGAGGTCGGAAGCGAGGATCAGTTTTAAGCGTCGGAAGTGGTGAATTCTACAATGCTCGTGGTTATCTTGTATCGAACCTGGTCCGTCGACGAAAGGGGTTTTGTTTGCGAATAGCCAATCCTGATATACATACGACTGACTGAGTGATCCCGAGGAAGTGCGATGGAATTGCAGGTTACATTTGAAACTGATGATCATTAGTGTTTAAGAAGGTTCGTTTGCTTTGGATGATGCGGAAATACCATGTGATTCGACCTCCATTTTTGTCATCATTGACACTGTGACAGGCTGGGCAGGAGTTGACTTCAGTCGGTGCACAGAACTCCTGAAAGATCATATCCATATCCACATGCATTCCCGGATGAAACAAAACATCCCATGGTTCACACAAATCAAGCTCTCGGCGTGTTCTCGAATCCGACAGAGCAAATTCGCCCCGGGCAATTTTGCCTTGGCCTATGGTTTCAAATCTTCTCATGAGCCAGTCTATGAAGACCTGATACGGTAAGTGGAAGTCAATCAATCATGGAGATCTGGTTGATATGCTGACTTTTGATGAGAATACAAAGTCCAGATAGAATGCTGTCTCTTTACCGTATGCATCAACGAAGTAGACTGGTTGATCCTGCCGAACTTGAGGAGGTAATAAAGTAACAAATTTGTGAATATCTAGGACCCTCTGATAAACCTGAAGGGCTATGTGTCTGTAGACACATCAGATGCGAGCCAAGAGGAGAGGTAGCACCTCGCTGATACTTACATGATTGTCGCGGATGATCGTATTAGAGTTACCCCTTGAGCAGTACAGCTATATCCACAGTCAGTCATGTTTTGAGTACAATATGATCAAGGAGGCTGACGTCTCAACAGAGGTGAAGATATCTCCAAGACGAATCATGAACTTCCCAAATATGATATTCATTGTGTCTAAAAGATTGCGCTGGCCTTTCTGAATATCATCGGCTTGTGCTTGTGCCAAAATCCTACAACTTTCATTAACGTTGTGAGCCAGGTGGTTGTAAGAGCAAGCATTCTTACAGTTGAAGCATAGCAAGCACCATATTGGTCAGCCTTACATATCCAGCTATCTCCACACAAAATTGCGTTATATCTTCCTTCGCATATAGCGACCATTGAACTTTCCGAATGAAGTCTTTGTAAGCAGAACCTGATCCTTGAGCTGTTAGGCTAGGCTGGTACTTCTTTATTCTCAAACAGAATCGATCGATCGTTTGTCGACACTGAGTCACAATAAATGTGAGCACACTAAACTGCGAGCTAAGTTGCGGGCATTCGCAAGTCTCTAGGTGTAAAGCCTTTATTTCGAGCAAGACCCTTTCAAGACTATACAATTCTTGCATCAGGTTCTGGTAGCAGTAGTAGTAGTAGTAATATTATTTTACATCAGGAGAGCAGCTTATGGCTGCCCTCAGAACCTCCCTAGGGGTATGCAGATATTTTAAACTATAGTTTTATAATACATGAAATAAGAGTGCCTTAAAAAGAAAAGTGAAAGTCTTATAGTCATTCCCAGTAATCATATGTTATCTTCCAATTTATACATTCTTTCCTCCACCAATTGAGATGGTTTTACTGTTTTGCCTGATGTAGACAATTATACCCGTTTTGTAGACCTGCTATTATATAAGTTCCAATAATTCAATAAACTATTTCTGATATAGTGATTAAAATATTTGATATACTCCAGGAAATATTCTCAGATATGCTTTTGTATATCTTATTGATATTTAATCAGATTTTTTATACTTGTTAATAAGATTGTTTCTCTGTATACATTCTACAAAGGGAGTTTGGGGCTTTATTTATATTATACATTACAAATCGATTCTGATAATAGATATATCTTATCACAGGTTTTTAGATTATATGTGTAGAATACAAACTTGCAATCCTTTATTTTGGGTATATATCTTTATAGAACTTTATTAGTTTTAATAACTTAGCGAAGTCTATGGGATTGTTTAAGATTTGTCAAAGATAATCGATTTCTTTTTTGTTTATTGATAATAATGTAAAAAGCTTATTCGGCTATTATTCAAAGATAGTCTTTGCCTTCCAGCAATGGACCAGGTGGGCCAAGGTTTTGGATCTTCCGCAAATACATTCTGTATCTCCTGTATATCCAAATTTCCTGTAATACCATCTGAAGTTTCTATATAAGATTTGGATAGTTATCAGTTTATACAAAACTACTCATAGAAATAAAAGTTTTAGTAATAATTTAATCTTGTAAACTAAATCCCATTGTTTATATTATAGCAAGAAAGCGGATTTACATAATTCCCACCATTACTAGTAGACTTCTTCTCTAAAAATATATGTAATCGATTTTACCCTATTATAAATAGATTGGGATATTGGTTCAATATTTCAACTAGGTTTTTTAATATCTAGATCAATGAGATGGTTAATTATCTTGTTTTTTTCAATACTTTTATATCCTAATAACCACTTGACATGAATATTGTGATCCTTTATAATCTTATAACATTTATTGAATACCCATTGTGATGATATAGAGACATTAGCCCTTATACCCCAAATAACCAAGACACTATCAATATACATCCAGATTTTCTGGTTAATATACCTGGTATCCTTAAAAATATATTTCAAGTCTTTCTATATTCTAATAGCTTTTATATCGAAGATATAAAACTAGATATTGATAAAACTGAAGCCTGCTAATATCTGGTTCTTACCTAGGTATATTATATATTCATAATTTACAATATATTTTCCTTTCATATAATTTTCCAATCCATCCGAAAAAATAGTGATATCTGTGTCTGACAGGTTTTCCCACCAGATATTGAAGGTTTTTGTAACCGTTTTTTTATCAATTTCTTCTATTAGGTCTATTTGGTAATTGGTTGTATACCATAATAACTCGAATATAGATCTTAGGATTAAAGGAATAAGAAAACTAAATCGTTAGACTTTGGTTTTTGCTCTTTATTTTAAATCTATATCTTGCCTTTTGATAATTATAAAAAATTCGATTCTTTTTGTAAACAGGTAGATTATATTTACACTTTGAAGACATAAGACAAACCTCAATTTAGCTTTCTCGAGAGTTGTTATAACTAAGAAAAGATCTGCTTTATAATAGAGGGCAATTACTAGTATAGTTTTCCAGGCTAGTATAACTCCTTGTATTGCCACTATAAAAACCTTTTCGATTTGTATCATATACCAGCCAAGGCGGGCACTAACCTTTATCTATCCTGTTTTTAATCTTTATACAACTTTGAACCTACCGCTATACCAGGCCTTAATCCTATATAGAAATAAGGGTAGTATATATATTGTTATTGCCTTATATATAGCATATACCAGGGAACCTTGTATAACTTTAGTTAGGCCTTGGATATACTTTGCTATTGCCCTGGTTTTGTCTGTGTATTCAATGATGTATTTACAAAAGTTCAGTTTTCTATCAAATTACACTCTTAGTTATCTCAATACTAAACAAATATTTGTTTCTATAATTATTATTGGGTAAATCGTGAATTCTTTATTAACCCTGATAACAGGTGTTATATTATTATTATTTATAAAGATATAGATCATTTCCAGCTTCTCCAGGACAAAAACGACACAATTGTTTGTTCCCCACTTTATAATATCTTGTACATCTATAATGAAATATCTGGTATTTTCTTCCAAAGTTTTGGATACTCTATATAAGCATATATCATCTATATACCCGAACCTAAAGAAGATGTTTTCTGAAAATAATTCCATTAGAATATAATATATACAAAACTAATGA